CAGTAATGACGCTAAAATTATATATAGAGGGAATTTCTGTCTGGATTTCAACTTTTCACAAGAACTCAATATCATTGAGCGAGGAGCGGTCTCCCCTCCTCTTCCCCTCTGCTTGGCTGGGCCATTGTGACAAAGCCAACGTCCAACGGTTATATGAATCGATGGCGATGCAGGAAAAAAGAATAAGTCCGGTCTTGCGACCGATCAGTCTATCTTTTACTCATAAAGGACATATTAAGTTAGAGCAAAGATATGGCATTTTTTTCTCACCACTGGGTAAAACGTAATTTTTTTTATTAGTTTTCAAACACTCATTAATAAATCATAAGCTTATTGGCAAATCACATGTCGACCATAATATCTCAACGTGAAGAGAATTTATACCTTATAAAACTAATTTTCATTATAGTATTCTTTATATAAAAGTTTATTCTAATATACAATTACGTTATCGTTCCCGTGTTTGGATGGCCTGATCCAAACACGCGGGAATGTTGCCAACCTCGTACCCAGGTCCTGGGTACGAGGTTGGAATGCTGCGAAAGTTAAGAATTGAAGGCGACTGATTTTGCGCGTTTTCTTAACTCGAGCAACATTCCCAAGTTCCTAACTCGAGCAACATTCCCTTAACTCGAGCAACATTCCAGGACACACTAAAGTCATAGTCCGTTATGGCTCTTTACGCTGCTTCAAAACTACGACATGTAGTACGCATGCGTATTCGAGATATGACTTACTTGTCACTTTTATAATATTTTTTGTGTGTCCTACATCCGCATCCTAACTTGTCCTTATATATATATATATATATATATATATATATATATATATATATATATATATATATATATATATATATATATATATATATATATATATATATATATATATATTAATATATATATATATATATATATATATATATATATATATATATATATATATATATATATATATATATATATATATATATATATATATATATATATATATATATATATATATATATATATATATATATTAATATATATATTAGTTCGTAAACCTAAAAAGTAGGTTTATCCCTTTGTGACAGAATTTAATCCTAGGGCTCCTAACATCTCACAAATTATAAGTAAGCATAAGCACTTGATCTCCACCCCTGAGTGGAAAGAAATTTTTCCGGACAAGTCTATAATAACTGCCTACAGAAGGCCAAAAAATCTTAAGGACATTTTAGCACCATCTAAGTTTGATAAGCAGCATGTGTTGGCGGAAAATCAGAGGCCAGGTTGTTTCAAGTGTAAGCGAAAATGTAATTTATGTAATAATTTCTTGAAGGAGACTGACTGTTTTAAGAGTTTTAGTACCGGTCGGTCATACAAAATCAAACAAGAAATGAATTGTGGTTCCCCTAACATAGTTTATTTGATTTCCTGCAAAAAATGCAATGTTCAGTATGTTGGATCTACATCTACTAAATTTAAAGTTCGTTTTCGTAACCACAAGTCAACTATGCTTACGGATAAGAAAGTTTGTGAGATGGCCGTTCATTTTAATGAAAATAAACACGAATTTAAGGATTTCGAATTTGTAGCCATTGAAAAAGTTGACTTAGTGAATGGCGAAAATGTCAATAACCCTTTATTGACCAGAGAAGCATATTGGATGGCACAGCTGTGCATAATTAGCCCTTATGGCCTCAATAAAAGATCTGAACTTCGATCAAAAAATAGGATCCATTACAAGTTGTAATAATTATTATAATTATAACTAGCAAGCCATATTATGGTAATTTTGATCCTACTATTGATCCTCATTAATTTGTTTACTACATAATATGGTAATTTTGATCCTGCCAATGCTATAAAAGCTAGACATTGTTAAATTGTAATATAAACTGATGAAGGCAGAACTGCCGAAACGTTTTTAACTTTTAAGCTTTTATTTTAGTATGTTTTAGCTTTTTTTAATAAATTGATGGTCGAAGTTGCATAGTCTCTGATTTTTAAATTGATTTATATATACAGTAATCAGTATATATATATATATATATATATATATATATATATATATATATATATATATATATATATATATATATATATATATATATATATATATATATAGGCGAATGTCAATAAGTATATTGAGTGTCGAATCATACGAATAGAGTGCTCGATACGAAGGTAGAGCAAATGAAAGACAAACTTGAGTTACTTCATTTAAAACATTTATTCACGACAAATTTGTTTCGTATGGCAAACTAAGCTTGCCACACTCATCAGGTGAATCAGGTGAATGAGTGTGGCAAGCTTATCACACTCATCAGGTGAATGAGTGTGGCAAGCTTAGTTTGCCATACGAAACAAATTTGTCGTGAATAAATGTTTTAAATGAAGTAACTCAAGTTTGTCTTTTATATATATATATATATATATATATATATATATATATATATATATATATATATATATATATATATATATATATATATATATATATATATAAGGACAAGTCTAACAGCATTCTAGTTTTTTGAAACGGAGTCAGAGTTAATTAAAATTGTTCTGACCTAATAAAGTCTGTTAACCTTCTGAAACTGCATTGAATTCTTCCGAACAGGGCAAGATTTTCACACAATCATTTACTTGAAAGATTTTGTTTCGCTCTTGTACAACTCTTCTCTAGTCTATTAGCATATAAAAAATCATTGTCGCTCATGTCCTCAATATTGGCATGCGCTTGGTATTAGAAAAATTTGACGTCGTGTGGAGACAGTGTTTCAGTGTTTCAGTGCCGTGTCTAAACAAATGAAACAACATTATATAGCAGTTGCTAATCGATCGATATTGAAGTAGTTGGCAGACAAAATGTTAGCGTGTAAATCAAATCCACTGAAAGTGGAACAGGAAGAGACAACGGAAATTGACTTTTCGGGTTTGGACGAAATTTCAACGAAGGGTGTTGAAGTAAACATTGCTATAGTTGGGAAATCTGGGAGTGGTAGATTAAGTTTTGTTAACGCCATCAGAGGGTACGTATGAAATTCTTGTACTTTTGCTTTGACATACAGTTTAATAATAGCTAGATCGTGTTAGAGGCTTGACTAAAATAACAAACTGACATCTAAAAATGCTTCGATTTACAGTATAATTAGCTCAAGCAATGGTTCAGTGACTTCAGGCATACTTCAAAACGTCTGCAGTTGTATTTCAAGTATTGGTACAATTTGCACTATAATTTAATTGTTGTTATATCTTAATACACAATTTGGAGGATATTTTTATGATATCCTTTAACATTAAATGATATTTTACCGAGTTTTGTACTTTCACTTTGAGATTTACAAAGAAATATCGAAGCGTGACGAACACAAGTTGAAATAAATAAGCTTAGGACGTTTCCCGTATACCATACAATGTAAGGCCAATGTCTATCAGATTCGCCCAGAGATCCCTATACATCAATACACGACATATAAGAGCAAAATTCAACCCCTTTGAACAGTGGCAACGGAGAGCTACAATATTTTGAACTGGTTTGGAAGTTTTTGTTGACAAAGGACTGCACGGTATCGTATTGATTATTGTATAGAGTTGTCGTTGACAAATGTGACGAATGCTATTCAATTTTTTACGGTATTTAGGATCATAATTAAATTGTAATTTGTAAGAGATCGTATTTTTCATGTAATTTTATCCCTATCAATCCGGAACAGGAGTCTCAAGATTTGGAAGAGGGGAGGACTCATTTTGCCCGAAAAAGGGCGTGTAGATCTTATATATTTCCCATAAATAAAAGTACTATTTGCAATGAGATAAAACAGAAATTTTGCACCAGATTACTCTACGTCTGTATATTCTTTGACATTTTGGTTGCAATGTTGTAGTCGGAGGCCCAGCTTTGCTTCCCCTACACCAATCACATGCGATGGGAAAAGTTAAGTTATTGCTGCTGCAGCAAGCGAGGTTTATTGTAAATGAATTTTATGCTTTATATTTCGCTTCAGTGTTTCGTTTCTTTACTAACCCAGTGTAATTTACATTATAAATTGAATTCCAGTATTTCCAGACAATGTTGATTCATCAATGGAGGAAATGTAAATCAGTTAATATTAAAAAATAATACACATTTTAAAAATTGCCCGCCAGTTGATATATTTTTACGCAGATTAAGCAGATAACAGAGAGAAGCACGTGACAGTTTGATTTGTGCACTGAGCGCCCGTAATGAAAGGGCAAATGCCAGCTAGTACTTCAATTTGTTAAGTTTCGTAATGTCCTATTTTTTACGTTTAACCTCCCAAAATTTAAAATTCTTTTCAAAACACTTGGTTTTTTTTCGCCCGACGAAGTACAGCGTTTTGCCCGACAAAACTGTCGATTTTATTTTTGGAGGGGGGAGGGGGTGGGAGCCATCCCTAAACCCCCAGGATTTACGCCCCTGATCCAGAGCTTCCCGCTATATTATGTTTTTGCTTTTTGCGATGCTGTAAAATGTTTGAGTTACTAGCTTTCAATTGTCAGTTTTCGACCAGAGAACGCAAAGCTTTTATCCTGGTCTCCCCGTCTGTCCCCGATCAAACAATTTTAAAAGTGTTGATCCAGTTGTATTGTCATACTAATAACTTACTGACCGAAAGTGAAGGCAATACAGGAAAATATCGAACCGATGACTTGCGAAAGTGAGGGCAATACAGGAAAATATCCAACCGAGGACTTGCTGTATTGCCGGACCGATAGAGAGGTCATTACAGCAAGACCGAGGTTAGATATTTTCCCGTATTGCCCAAACGGTTGGTTTCCCCAAACGAACTTTAAGAAAAAATATAAATCTGTTGCTGCTTTAGTTGTATTTTATATTTAGATGGTGTCAGATTCCTAGCTCCTGGCTATCTGCAAATAAAATTTGCAGCTCTTCACATAGTCAAAACACAACTATTCTTGATCGCTTTAATAGTTTTACAGATAGTAAAATTTACCTTGTAAATTCGACTTTCGCTAACAAAAACGGTTGTGAAAGTTTTTTAATCACAGAGTTGCTCTTTTTCTCTATTTTAGGTCTATTTTTCTTCTTTCGAATAGTTTGAAAGACTTTTAGACACTTTTTGCCGTTTGAAACTCGACTCTCGACGCAGTTTCGTATGGCAATAAAAATTGCGTATTGCCCGTGGGCGATAATAAGGGGAAAATCAGCAGCCTATCAAAATGCGCGATTCATCAAAACAAATATTTGCCATATAATAAAAAAAAATATCAATGTTAAATAAAAAGTAAATGCTACTTATGGGTTATGTGTGAACTTAAATGAAGATTAAATTACAGTAAGGGGCGGACCATTAGAAATTCCGGGAGGGGGGTGAAAATTCCCCCAAAAAAATTCGTGCAAAGGAAAATACCTGGAAAAAAAATTCGTGCAGCCATTACGTCAGAGAAAAAAAAATCGTGCAAGCAAACAGCGAAGTACAAATAGTCTTGAAAAAAAATTCGTGCAGAGGTTAAATGCATTAAAAAAAATTCCTGCAGAGACACGAGACTGAAAAAAAAATTCGTGCCGCAAAAATTTTATACCCCCCTCCCGGGATTTCTAATGGTCTGCCCCTAATACAGACTTTCAGTGGAAGTTTGCGTGTCAATCAGACATTTGTCAGTCAGAATCAGTTACATGTATATTTGATCTTCGAATTCCCTACACTTCCTCCCCTAAACTCTTGATGCCGTCGCCATGCATGTACAGATGCAACACGTAGATAAGACTATCTGGGGTGTTGCTTAAGACAAAAATCAAAACATACAAATAATTCTAATTAAATAATTATGCAATTACACAAAGTTAACTTAAATTATAAATAATAATATTTCGTCACTTTTCTTGAGTACTTAAGGTGGCTCCCTACAGTTAGTACAGTTTAAATACGATTTATATAGATCAGACTTCATCCCCGCGACCTGCGCGTGGAATCGTGTTTACTGTTCTGCAAAAATATTGAAACCAGCTGTGGGAAGTTTTTTGGCGTTTTTTATCTACAAAGAAACCCCAGTTTTTCATTATAATCCTATTTTTTTCTGAATTCGAACAGTGCGTATGTTATTAACTAGTTTAACCTATCTTTTAGTGTGTTTTTACGTATTTACGTTCAGTATTGTCTTTCACATTGCTCAAAATTTTCAACTTGTTGTTTTGCGAGCTGTCAAACTGAAATGACACTGTCTTCTATTTACTCTTGAACAGTAGTGAACTGTTGCCGAAACTTATATAAGTTCTGTCAATCAATTCAATTTACAGGTATCGTTTTATCTGCTAAATCAAATAAAACAGTTATGAGTTGTTTTATATGAAAAGTTAAACTTGTAGTTCAATGTTTTGAAAAGTTTTCACACCGATTTTAACAACAAAAACAAGTGTAAACTAACAATGGATTTAATACAATGCCTATAATAGTGTTTTTTATTAGTATTTTCAAGATTAATATTTTATTTTTATGTCAAACAAGTCAGAAATATCTGTTTTCTTATGTATTGTAAGCCAAAAAGTTGAAATCACTATAAATCACACGCTACAATTTACACGCATGCGCAGATCGTGCTCATGTCGAGTCGATTTTTTTCATGCTGGCCACGCCGATTTTAGCGATGATTTTCTCGTGTTTTCTTCGGTGAAATTTTTTTAAACTTTGTATTTTTGTTAAACAAGAGGAATGGTACCACATATCCAAATTTTAAGAAATTCTATAAATAACTTTTTCTGTAACCGTCATTCACGAATATCTCGAAAACTTATTTATAAATTCCCTTCAAATTTTGATGGACAATAAACTTTATGGACAATAAATCTTAAAAAAAAATTTCAGAAAAATTCACCGAAGGAAAATATAGATATTGTCCATTTATTGTGAAATTAGACAATAAAAGTGCAAAAGATTACACGTCATGGTTGCCATGGCAACACAAACACTGTTTTAATTTGTTCATAAATGGAGAGCACACAGCTTCTGAACTTTCCTGGAAATGATCATATTGCCTTGTCTTAAGTGTATCTAATATAAATTCGGTTCAAAGCGAACGATACTCAAAATACCTAGAATTTTAGAGAACTGTAGGGAGCCACCTTAAGTTGAGCTGCGACTCATATTTCCATAGCCCTTTTAACTTGTGTAGTACCTGAATATCAGTCTTATTTTGAAAATTTACTCGTGTGCAGTCGCTGTTACTCGTTTATTACTCGTACTTACTAGTCTGTACTCGTCTGTGGAAATGTTACTCGTATATGTACTCGTCTGACGCTCATCTGTACTCGTCTGGTACTTGACTATGCTCGTCGTTACGTCACTCACGTGCTCGTCTGTAGTCGTCTAGCTGTTACTTGTGTGTCATCGTAGAAAGTTGCTTGGCGACGAAAACGTACGAATATGTTTTCAACATATTGCCGCTGCCACGCGGCAACTTGTCAAAAGCGGTTGCAATTTGCTTTAATCAACATTGCAATATTGTGGTGCAATATTGGAAAGAACGGCGCAAAAGGACATCCCCTTTGACCAAGGTTTCATTGTTTCGTATGACCCCGATTTCGACCGGAAAAAGTAACAATATACGTCAATCAATCCATGATGCTTTTTCATTTCGTCTGTCTAATGGTAATTCTTTTCATACACGAAATAGCATTCAGGGACTAAATATCAATAGAAGAAAGAAATTCGTGTTGAAGGGTAGTCTGCTTTTTTATTATTTGACATAAAACAGCGGGTATTTTGTTGTAACCTTCAATTTCCATTCCAAATGTTTTTCTTCAGTATACTCATGATCAAGGCGATCAGATATTTTTTCATGTACAAAGTTACTGAAGGTTTATTTGTATAATTCTTGCAAGGCCTCCGAATCTATGTGTGACTTTCCCATAGTGCATGTGATATATTCCTTGATTGGTACCAGTTTGCATACATGCAGGACAAGAAATCCTTTTCAAGAATGGTACGCAGGCTAAGAATGACAAAAATGTTTTTGCATCCATACTCATTCATTCATTACTATTTTCTTTAAGACTTAAAGACAGTGACGAAAATGCAGCGAGAAAAGGTGTAGAAATGACGTCCAAAGAATCTATTTCCTATTCTCAGGCTGAAAACCCCAACCTCAAGTTTTCGATACTTCCCAGTATTGATCAAGAAACGTTTCCTGCTTTCCAATCATTTCTTGAATATGTTGAAATTGAAAAATTTGACGCATTCCTTATTTTTACTGCTGAAATGTTCAATAAAAGGCATGTAATATTAACAAAAAAAATTAAGTCCAGTAACAAGCCAATCTTTTTAATTCGAACCAATATCGAAAACCACAACCATGCTGAAGACCCTAACGAAGAAAAGATATTTCAAGAGATCAAAGAGGGACTTGTTGAAAATTTAAAAGAGGTTCATTCTGACGAAAATAAAACCTATCTTATAAGTAATAATCACCCAGACAAATGGGATTTTGAGAAGCTCGCGAAAGCAATCGCAGATTCTTTGCCTTCTCCTAAAAAAGAGTGCTTTAACAAGATTCCAAAGATTCAAAATTTAATTGCCATGGAGAACTTTCAGAATTTTCTAAAAGGTACCGTGCAGTAAATTTAAAATATATAGAGGTATCAATAAAAAGTATATACTGCAGTATTAAATCTTTTACGTACTAATTAAGAAACTAAATAATTATCAGTAAAATATTTTTCATACTATGCAGCATGCTTAATTTCGTTGTGATAATGCGGAAAGAAGGTTTAAGGGTTATATAGTCGTAATTTGGTGCATGTTTATCTTTCAAGAATTAAGAAAAAATTCTATTTCAACAAAAAATTATTGAACACTGATATCTTGTTTTGTTTTCTCGCCTATATGATGTATGTATAGAATTCCGACTCGAAAACCTAGACCATAAAATGATCTAATTTCATTACGCGCGCACCGTACAAAAAATGCTAATTGATTAAATACGTTTTAGTATAATTACAAGGGTAATTAATGAAAATTCTCCACGCTGATTGGTTGCCGTTGAGGTATAAATATAATGCGATAATAACCTAAGCGATTTTCGAAATGTGGCGGCCGAAGCCTTTTTGTCAAATATTTAGTGTATTTTTTATTTTTCCCCACATAATCACCTATAAAAATATACTAAAACAAATGTCACCTTAGGCTTGGTGATTATCGTAAATAAAAACCTCGACTTTGTCTCGCTTTTTATTCATCGATAATCACCACGCGTTCGGCGAATAATTGTTAAATGTAGGGGTGGAAGTACAAGAACAGATCATTCTTGACGCCAAAGAAATAGATAAAAAATTCATGGAAAGTGGAATGGTGGGAGTGCAGCATATCATGAAGGAAAAACTGGGGCGATGGAAAGAAGTTACTGTAAACCTCGCCATACTTGGAAATTCTGGAGTTGGCAAATCAAGTTTTATTAATGCCATAAGAGGGTGAGATTTTTTATGGTTCGTAAGCCAAAGTTCGTAACTAAACTGGAGCCCTCTGATTGGGTGATAAAAGATAGTTAAAGTGGATTTTTTTATTAGATCGTCTATATTGTAGGGCCTAAGTGGAAATATAGAAATTTGCGTTTTGCAAATGACGCATTCGAAGTGACGAGTCATCATGTGTATTGTTAGCCATTATATCCTTATCTTAAAATGCCTGGATTACAAATCTTCAAATCTATAATAAGATTTGGTTTCGTTGGTTGTAAAAATTTTTGGTAAAGTGCTCAACGGAAAACCAGAGCATATTTAAATTAAGGTACAACAGATCAACAAAATCCACTAGGCATCTTTATTACTAAAGAGTTTCTTACCACAAAATGTGGCACTCTTTAGATAAATTGACCTAATGACTATAGACTAAAACTTACAAGGTTTAGGCATTATCTAGGCTAAAACTAAAACTTTCGACGGTTTGGGCATTATCAAAGCAACACCACGCCAAATAGAACTAATTAAAAAGGATCTGTGCGCCTTATTCAACAACCATGGTTAATTGAAAATTACTATCGAGGCTAACAAGAAAATCGTAAATTTCCTTGACGTCACACCAAATCTAACCACCGGTAAATATCATCCATGTTCTAAGCCTAATAACACACCTCTTTATGTGCATAGCAAGTCTAACCACCCAGCAGTGTTCTGCGTAATATTCCATTATCCATTAACAAACAACTAACCGAGATATCCTCTGATCAAGATTCATTCGAACAAGCCTCCGCGTCATATCAGCAAGCCCTTGACAAAAGTGGTTATAATAACCACAAGCTACAGTTTAAACACCCCCTAAACCTAACGAATAACAAGAATACCCGAAGCCGTAAAAGAAAAATTATATGGTATAACCCACCATATACTCACGCACGACTTCGCATATGGTTAACTAAAACATCTGAAATGGCTACGTACTCTCAAAAATAAACAAAAAACAAATTGCTCTTCATGCCTCAAAATAATTGGAAAAACACAAAAATCAATTGAATGTCAGACATGTCGCAAACAGTTTCATGCTGTGACTTCATGCGTAAAATCACTCAACACAATCACAGGAAACACATTAGATACTTGCCAAAAATGCCTAAATAATATTTTACCATTTCAAACGCTTGATGATTTAGAATATCAATTCACTGTTCTAAATGGAAATAATTTCAGTGAAAAAGATATGGATAGGCTAAATAATTTAAAATCCAACCCTTATGATGCAAGTAGTGATATTACGTTATCCGAAAACAACACAAATTTAGAAACCTCGTCTAAAATAGATTGTGAGTATTATCTACCAAGTGATTTCAATAAACAACTAAATATAGCAAGCAATAATAATATAAACTTTTCAATAATAATTATTCTTCTGAACATTTACAAAGTTATAATAACCTGAAGACGGACAGTAAAACCTCTTGAGGAATCCTGTTTGAAAGTGAATTGAATTATATAATTTTTCAATAATAAATCTAA